ATGAGTCGAATATTATCAACCTGGCAATTGAGTGGAATGATGAAAAGCTCTCTTTTGGGCATTCCACTCAATCGCACAATTGGGAAACACCACTATCGTTCATTCTATCCCATTAGTCTTAGTATTACTCTTCGTGAAAAAAGAAGACGAGTGTGAACTAAAGACGCACCTAAATTACTCATAATCCTCCTCCTCCTCTTCTTCTTGTTGTTGCTAAGTGGTTTTGGATGCAAATAAGTTGATTTGGGATGTTGCAGACTTGCGCTCAGTGCTGTGGGTGGAGAAAATCGTACCCCACTACTGGCACTTCCTCTACATGGAAGTGTCTCTATCTTCCCAACTTGAACATTTTTATATATGAAAAATTTTAAGGAATCGAGTAATGTTTTTTAAGTGGTGTACAATAGATTTGATTTTTGTGTGCAATTTTCATCAAAATAAAGTCTTGTAGAAAGTCTTTGTAGTGTTTATTTGTGTTGTGGAATGGACAATACCTCTATAAACTGAGGTCACCGGGTTAATGCTAATTGGCGCGGATCCGGTGATGCGGCCGGTTGATCGTGTTTGCCAATTCAGGTCAACAGGAGGGGGAGGGGGGGGGGGGGGGGGGGGGGTTGGTTGAATGCAGGTTTCCCTAGCAGTGTCCCCTGATGACTCTCTTCCTTCTACCTGCTTCTCGGTCTTTCTTTCAAGCTGTAGTAAATATTTATTTTTCTGTTTATTTCAAATGACAGGCTTTTTGATAGTTATCATTTCCCATTTAGCTGACTTCGGGCTTCACAGAGAGGAGGAGGAACATCAAAGTAACAGGAAGTCGAGGGGTGGGGATTAGAAGAGTGATTTACAGATGTAAAAGAGAGACAGACACAAAAGCAGAGAAAGGGTAGGATGAGTACTGTGGAAGTGGTACGTTAAAGCCAATCCACCCGCTGCTGCATACTGTTTGAGAACAACTCGAAAATAAGCTCCATTTTATCTATTCTTCTCTAATCTGCTCTCAATCAGTCCCCATCCATTATGGAAACATAAAGAAGAGATTTTGATTGGCTTAATCTTAACGAATTAAATTGCAACTTTTTAATTTATTTTCAAGATGTTGACCAAGAACCCAGAGGATTATCCCGATGCCAAATCTCAGCCTCACGTGCAAGTGGCTCTTCGATTTAATCAATCGATAGGTTCTGGTGGTGGTGGTGGTCATCGTTTCCGAGCTGGTGACACTGTAGAATACATCATTTGTGAAGATGGAACAACGCGTTCGGCAGTTCAGAGAGCTTACTCGCCTGCTGAATTGTCTTCTGGGATTAAACCGTCAGAAAGTGGAGAAGAATCCAAAAATAAGGAGCCAAGGCAACTTAAAGTGGATATTCACTATTACCTAGCCAGTCAAATTCATCCTGTTGTTTCACGTCTGGTAGCTCCAATTGAGGGCACTTCTCCAGCACACATTGCCGATTGTCTTGGCCTCGATTCAGCCTCCTACCGAAGGTCAATGGCCACATCTGCCGCTATTAATACTGGCGGTGATGAGGATGCTTTGCAAGAGGTTAGTTGAACCATCTGTATTATCTACTTATATCATTTCAGTAGCACATCTCAAAAATCTTTTTCGTGAATAGGCTTCGGATAGTGGTTCAATGTTCCAAGGTGCATTCTTAAACGATGCGGATCCGTTGACTATCTCATGTACAGCACTACGAGATGGGAAACGGTGCCAGGGAAAAGCACTTATTCGGTCCTCTCCATTCACACAAGCTGGTCTTGCAACTTGGGTGGTAAGTTACTCGTTTTTTTTGTTAGTAGCAGGTTTCATTGATGAAGGAATTCTGTGCTTATGTTAGTGTCGATTGTTGGTTTTTCACCTCTAAGTGGAAGTACGAGACCAATGTAAGTAACTATTTGAAGATTTTAAGCTTAAGTTTAGCCCGTGAGTATTGGTTCATTAAATGAATAAAATTATGAATGGAATGCAAGGATCATTGTTGGCCATTTCGTCGTCTCTTTGCTCCGAAATTCCAGTATTTTTTTTTTGTCCATATCTCTGAATGTTCACATTTGATCATCGTCCCCATGACGACTTGAAGCAGACCAGTTGACAGTGTTATACTTTAGTAAGGGAATTTTCTCAATTCGACTTCCCACTTCTATTTATCATTTGACTATTTTGTTTTGATCTGTGTTCGGACCCTTTTTTATGCTGATAAACATCAACCTGTATTTATTTGAGCGCATCACATTACTTAAATAAGCAAATCTTGTTATCTATGGCCACAACGTTCACATCATATCTGTTGGCTGATTTTCCAATTGGTCGGAGAGAGAGGGGGGGGGGTTTGGAGGTCATTTATTACTCGCATAGTTTTAGTTAAAATAAAGTTTCCAGAATTTATTGTTTCCTGGTTAACTTTTTTCATTGCATTCTAGTTTCGATGTCAACTTAGATTTGTCGGTTGTAGCGAACTTTATGACACCGACCATTTAAACTGCTCTTCTCCATTCCAAAGATCATATCATCGTGGGGGGGTGTGAAGACCTCATTATTGCTTTTACTAGGGAAAGGACACGTAGATTGTGGAATTTGAGGATCTTTTTGCTGACGTTGATCGAATTGTGTTTCTTTCCACTTCTTTTCAACTGGAACCTCATTGCGCTTGAGAGCATTCCGTTCGACATAAATGTTGCCAGATATTCATTCTAAAACCCGATGGTTTGTGAGTGCACTTTCATGATCTCGTGTTTCACAACTTGGTTTACATTCATCTGATATATCAGATGGCATTCTTTTGATGCTCCCAATTTCAAAAGATTGGCTAGTGGTGGCACTCGCTTTTTGAATTTATAGACCTACCAGTTTGCTTGCACTGCGTTTTTACTGTTTGGTTTAACAAGGTATTTATTTATATCAAATGGCAGGCATTTTGATAGTTTC